CGCAGCTAGCCTTGCTGTTATTGATGTGGCCATAAAATATTCATGGAAAGAACCATTAGTGAGTGGTTAGGGCCATGGAGGGGAGGTGGGGACCGTGTTGAGAGACTGCGTTTGGTATGATCCTCTAGCCAGTTGACCTGGACCCCCACATGCCTCTCACAACCTCACCCACAATGCACTCCAACTGCCCGTGACCCACAAGGCTTTCTTGCAAAACCTCTGCTCTTTTGCACTGAGCTCTACTGTCACTTTTGGCAAGCTTAACCACATAAATGTTCGGTCACAGTATTCTCCAAAGTGATGATATAATTACTCTGGCTCTCATGAGCTCACTAGAAGTGCTCGGACTACTTTAGATATTGTTGTTATTGTATCTTCAGAGACATGCTTGAGACGCGGAGGCGCAAATCAGCCATTTTGAACTGGAAGTGTCAGGAAAACATTATGTATATACCCAATTTACAGAAAGAAATAACCCAAAAATGAAAAATTTGGTCATTTTTTAATTACTCACTCTCGTGTTGTTCCAAATCTGTATGCTGACAAAAGCCCATTAAACAAAAGTTAATGGCATCCAAAACAACATTGAACCCCAATGACATTTATTATATACACAAAATATCTTCTTTTGTGTTCTGTAGAAGAAAGTAAGTCATACAGGTTTGGAAGAACATGAAAATTAGTGAATTCTGACAGATTTTTGGGTGAACTGTCCCAATATACAGTATCTATTAAATGGCCTCCTACCGTGAGTGGACGATGTTGTGGATGGGAGCAGCATTAAAGGAGGAAGCCCCATGGTGGTTTCACTTCCAGGGAGATTGACCACACTGTAACTGCTGAGATGAAGGCCTCCTGAGGTAGTGGATGGAGTGGAGGGGGCCGAAGCGAAGGAGACCGCTGAAGAAATGACTCCATCTTCAGCATTGGAAACCAGAGTCTGCATGGCCTCCAGCTTTCCAGAGGCAGTTTCAGAAACCCCCATTGAGAACGGAGCATAAGACACACAAGACCCACCTAACAGCCTCTCCTGACTGTGATGGGAGACCCTCTGGGGATCAAAGGTCAAGAAATGACCACTCGTGGCGCCAAGTCCATTCAGGAGAGCATTGCTACTGTGTGACTGAACATAGGCTCCACCGTTGATGTAGTGAGCATTCACATTTGCTAGATCACCGTTAAAACTCATTCCTCCAGCTAGGTGTGCAGGCATTTTGACATCTCCAATTTGTTGGATGACTGTGGTTCCTCCATCCGAGTAAACTGTAGGGGGGGCTGTTCCGTGTGCGACTGAGCTAGAAGAGCCGCTAGAGAGGGGACGTGGTGACAAGTCCTCCTGGCCTTTACTGGACTCATCTTCTGTACTGTGATTGCCATCTGACTCACTGAAAAAATAAAAAAATGTTAAGAAACAGACCAAAGGTTTATTTAATGCTTTGTGCTAAAAAAAATTGTGTTTGGCATGAGATCTTGCTTGTTGAAGCCATCAACAATTTGCAGTCTTATGAATTTAGTTTGTTCATTTTGAATTGTTGCAGTGTGCTACATATTAATTGAAGAACTTTCACTAAATTTACTAACAGTAAATAGTATTAAAATGCCCATAATCATTTGAAAATCTATCTGGCAAACTGGTAAACCAGTGTACATTAAATCTGTCAAAAAAAATTACATTTTCCATTTGATTTCTCCGTTTATTTGTTTCTCTCATAATCAGTGAATTAAAAATACTTTGGAATTTCACAGTGAAGAAAGTGTGTACTAAGGCATGCCACTAACTGCATTATCAGTAGCATTATATGCACTTGTGTTGAAACACTTTAGGAAATAAACTTTATATAAACCAGCTGTCCAATTTTAAAGCACATTGCAATCACAAATACTATTAAAATTGACCTCTTGTGCGCTTCTAAAAGCAGACCGCTAAAATAAAAATCATTTCTGAGCTCTTGGAGGCATTTGGTGGGTCTCTTTACAGACTATGACAGCTGCGGGTGCATCGTTCACAGTGACTCGCATCTATACAAAGATCTTATTGACATGACAAGCCGTTGGTCTTTTCTTGTCCAAAGAGCTTCCATAAGGAGTTCATGGACATCTTCGTTCAAACAATGAGTAATTATCTTTGTCAGGGTTTGACAGTGCAACATCAAAGCAGCGCTTACCCTTGACGCATACGGAAAAGCCTGACCACCCTTATTTACGAGTCTCGAGATTTATTATTTATGATAAAAGCAGCATTTTGCGGGCATAATGGTAAGAGTTATTTCCACCGCAGTTTGAAACTCTGAACGATCTGCAAGCAAAAGTTTACTAATACAGAGCTGCTTCTTATCTGCCTCAGATGCCTCAAGCTGTGAAGAGGATTTTGGCCACGTCAGGAGATTGAGTGCAGATCTCTCTGACTGATTATCAGGGTGGGACAATGGCTTTAAAATCCAGAAACAAACAGACAATGGCTATGGTAATGTAATGGCTGATCGTATCTAAAGTAAACCTAGGGTCTGTTGGGGTTGTATTTGAAAGCAGCAACATGTCCGTTAAAATGTTTGTCAGGTCTTTGTTTTGCTTATCCAATTAATGTGACCCTTTTAATTAAATTTGCCAATTTATGAAATGTCTACATCGTTAAAAGAGGCTTGAGCTGAACTAACAACTCAAAATGTGGGAAAGAAGAACTTTTAAGCAATTCTTCAAATAGCCTTTTCTACTTAAAAATGTACTTTTTAAAAATCGTCTAGAGTCATCTGAACAATCCATAGTGTATCATGAACTTTTTAAGTTTTAAAGTACCATAATCAACTCAAGAAGCCAAAATGGCTTTAAATAAGAAAATGATTCTTTGATGAACCAAAGAACCAGTGAAGAACCTTTATTTTTAAGAGTAAACGCGTCACGGTCTCCACGTTCTTCAAAACTGCACCTCATTGAAGCGCTCAAAGCTTCGTATTTCAAAACATTGGTGAAACGTGTCCTCCGTTCGCTCTCGCGCATTCCATCATAAGTTTTCCGCTCTCGATTAACGATTTAAATATAACTGCGGTTTACCTTTTTGACTGCGCCTCGGATGGATTTCTGTCTCTCTGCCTCCTGTTTTTGAACCAGTTGCTGACCTGCGTCAAAGAAAGTCCTGTCATTTTGGCCATATTTCGTTTCTCGGCTGGAGATGGGTACCGGTTCCGCTTGTACATATCCTTCAGCGCGTTCCTAGACCTCTCTTTGAAACAATACACGGTCTCCTCTCCGTCCCAGATAGTCCGAGGCAGCGGATATTTCCTGCGTAAGCGATACTTGTCCACGGCACCCAGCGGTCTGCCCCGCGCCTTCTCCGCTTCGATGTAGCGCGCCTTGTACCACATATCCTGCAGAGACGAGTGGTTTGGCGGACTGAAACTGTGGTTCTCCAGAATGCAGTAGAACTCTTGGTAGCGGGCCTGGTGAAACGCGACTATCGCTTGCGCTTTCAGGATGCTCTCGTTCCCCCGCAGCAGGTCACTCTGCGGCAGTGACCAGAGGAACCTGGCCAGGCGCTCCACGTTCCCACCCTGCAGCAGCGCTTCGCAGACGCATGCGACCTGCTCGGGGGAGAAGGCCAGGGAGGCCGGTGAGCAGTCCAAAAGTTCGGCATTCTCCATCGGCAACTCCGCGGGGTCCAGCACTGACAGCTTGACACTCCCACGATTCTCCCTCTTGATCTCATCGGCACTAAAGACCTCGCTTGAGGAAGAAGACATTTTGAGCGTGTCCTGATAAGTCACTCCTCTGGGTTTCAGGCAGCACATCAGGCGATCGGGTTTCGCCCCTCCATCCAAGCACGATCAGGTATCTGGCCGCTGTGTGGTGTGGATAAGATCTGGCGTCCCCCGTTCCACCACAAGTTTAACTCCACAGCCCACGTTGGAAAGGAGTCCAAGTCCTGAGCGCATTTTGATTCGCCGCTCTGCCCCTGCGGGGAGGAGCGACTGGGATGTGAAGACAAATGTTTGCGCTGGGAACGTCCATCAAGCGTGCAGTGGGAACGCGGGTACCTGCGAAAGGTAATGCAGGCTGCACTACGTCCACACGTCCACAATACACGCACGAGATTTCACATTTTCAAATGTACAAAATAGTTTCTTCCTTGTGTCATCACTCAGTAGTTACTCCAAGTAATTGCCAAAAACATGCCTTCTCTTGAAGAGAACAGCATCAGTTTTTTAAAATGACTAATTATATGCTAATTGATGAGATCATTGCTTGACCATCACCTTCCAGAGGTTATAGTCGAAGTTATAAGGCACTATGTAAAATATAAAGGATTTACAGTTGAAAACAAACTTTGATAGGAAAGAGTAAAATTAATGTCATGATGATCATGAAGATTAAATGACTGGTATCATCTGAATAAGCAGATTGTCTTGTTTAGTGATATAAAGCATCCAGCTTTTACTAGCTTTCATCCATATGTTTAAAATACAAATATCATGAGCAGATGGGGAGGGTTGTAACATTTTCCATTTTGCTTGTCTATATTTGCCACAGCCGTATGACTCACACACAAAATGTAATGTTTTTAACATTTTTAGCATTTTTAAATTTTTATTTTTAACATAATTTTTCCAAAGTACTTCAGTTTATAGCAGATACATATGGGAATAATATATCAAAGTTTGAAACACATATAGCAAAAAAAACAAGAAGTTTCAGTGACTGAAACAAAATGTGCTGCAACACTCTTCTATTTGACATTTTTGTCTGAGCCAATTCATTGCTTAATTTCATCATGTATGTTTACATACATTTTGGAGAGATTAACCATTATTGTCTAGAAAGCTTCACCTTCAACAAAGAAATAATAGCTAAATGCAAAGCTATTTGGTCATCTATTGTTTTGCAGGTTGTACAAGAAGCAGATTTTCTGAATCTCAAATGTAGCCCTGCCACTCTTCCAACTGTTTATGTCTGTCCATTTGTCAGACAGGCACTGACAATCTGCCTCTTGATTGCACTCTTTTTTTCAGTTTGTCATGCTGTTTACTGGAAACCGAAGGTCTGAATGGGAGCCAGCAAACGCAACAGCTGAGAGGAGGCCCCAGAAGCCTCTCACAAAAGCAGAGGGAAGCTTGACGTGATTGCATCCCTAAAATTAAACCCAGCACAAACAGAATACCTGGCAACAGCTCTGGGCACAACCCTGCATTCACATGCTCTTTGGTATGATGGTGGCACGTAGGTACATAGGTATCAGACTTTATACTGGTCAGTGATTATAGAAGCCCATGCCTGTCCCTGGGGAAAGGCAGTAAACTATGTCTCTCTTCAGCCCTATCAGGAATGGACTATGTAATGATGAGAGCTGTCATGAAGCTATGTTATTGTGTGTTACAAACATCAGGATAAGACCTCTATGTAACCTTGGGAGGAGTGCACAGCTGTAATGGCCACATTATTGCCTTTATCCCTTAAATTCCCAGTTTAGATTAGGAGAAGTGTTGCCTGTTGTTGTGGGCATGGCTTATTTTAGCATATAAATGGTTTAAATTGCCTGTTAGAAACCATTAGAGACAATGATTTAGTGGGGGCTTTTTTGTCCTGCTAAATATTCTAAAGCATCATCATTTGCACTTTGTCAAGTTTGTTGTAGCTATACAAACTTTAATTTTCCTCATTTCTCTTTAAAATTATGTTATCTCTAATCAGGGTATGATGAAAGTTTGTGATATGAAGCATTCATTACAATCAATCATTGTCACCAGAGCTGCACATATGTGCACACTCCTACATTTTTACATGATTTATGTTTTACATGCTTTTTCACTCCTATTGTTAGTTTCTGGACACTGGCTTCTTGGGTGGCTTGTGAAGATTTTCCTGGTTGAATCCTTGTGCAAGAGCGGGATGATAAGTTTGTCATAGGGGGCTGGGTATTGGAATTCAGCTGAGAATTTCCTGCCAATTTAAATCCTCAATATACCTGGAGCTTCAACAGATGATCCAAAACACATGCAACCAAATCCATCACAATGCTTCAGTCAATTGGCCAAAATACACCAAGCAGAGAGAGACAGACAAAATGAATGAAGGACACCCAAAATCTTTTCTCTAAAATGTTGGATCATTTCATTCATTCATTCATTGAGTGATTAAATCATTAATTTTAATTAATTAATTTTTATTTGTTATTATTATTTTTATTGTATATTTTCTATATATTTATCATATAATAAATATTTATTTACTTATATCGTTAATATTATTATTTTGTATTGTTTTTTATTTATTATTGCTTTTATGTATTCTATTAATTTTTTTAAAAATATCAGATTGATCAAAATGACAAAACTCCTAAGTTGGTTTATTTATTTTTAATATTACATTATATTGTATTTTATTATTTTTAAATGTATTTTTATTATTGCTTTTATTTATATTATTTATACCAGACTAATCAAATGTCAAAGCTCCTTAGGGGGTTTAGATCATTATGTTCATCATTTGATGAATAACTTTTTATGTTCTTGATGTCAAGGTATAGAGAGTGGATCCCTATTTCTCTAAAATATGTTCACCACCCGCTGTCTGTTTCATTGCTTGTGGCATCTCCACATGTGCGACACTATGGCCATGAATGAATCCTTTGTGGCACTGCAACTGCACAGAAGCAACCCACCCCAACCTCTTTGCAACCTCCACCCTTCCCTCCATATGTTCCCAATACATCTAAACCTGTGGCCCGGGGGGCTCCCACTAAGCACCTGCCCCTGCCCAGGCTACAATGGGGGCTATTCTTCAGGAAGGATGGACAGTCTAACATTGACGATGACTTGGGAATCTCAGCAAGATATGAGGGAGTGTCCTTTTATAGTTTTTCTGAAGGTGATGGTGTGTGAGAGTGCTGTCTGGGTGCATTTGTATGAGCGTGTGTTTGTCTATGTTCTTTGTGCATCTGTTGGTGCACATCTTTTAGTTTCCCCCATGTCTGGTTTTACCAGTCTTTCAAAGGGGATTTTTTTCAGTTTGTTCACACCAGGCAGTGAGCTGTTATCTGTTAGATCAATGCATGCTAAACGTAGGATAAAATGCCCTTGATTTGACTGTAATGCTGAGTTTAGGATGGAATGTAAGCAAGGAGCCAGCGCAGTCATTTTTTATTCCTTCTGACAGAGGTTTGGCGCATCATCTTCAGAGATGCTTGTCTTTAAAAATGATCAATTTAACTTGCTTCACAGTTTGAACAGAGTTCAGCTTCCTCACTTCACCAGAAATGATCTCATCATGGCTGTAAGTTTACGACTGAGCGTCCTGATGGTTAAGAAGGTTTAATGAGAATGTCAGGGTCAACAGACACTTTTTTGGCCATTGGATATGTTGCATTCATTAGTATAAGCTTGTTCACACAAAGGAAGGTAGGTTTTAATTATATTTCTAATTTTATTAGAGTAGGGAAGTCCACACCACAGTTATGGTGAAAATGGCACAGAGGAACAATATCGTTGAAATCAGGGTACATTTACACGACAACACTACTAAGATGGAAAAATTCTCCTTTGCATTTTTGAAACATTTCGCCTACAGTCAACTACATTGTCAGTATGTACACGGTCCCCGTTTACACAGATTCATGAAAATGACTAAAAACGCCGTATTATGCATGCCAGACCAGTAGATGGCGATGTCATTTTGTAAAAGAAACAATATGCACCTGTGCACATACAAATATCTATAGAGTGAACAGGTAATACACATGTGCATGACAATACTGTTTTTACAAATTAGCTTTTTCGTAGCTTACATGGAGACGGTAACAGTATCATTTTTAAAAACTTGCACTTTTGCAAGTTTGCAGTTTAAAACTGTTTTGTAAAGACCCCATTGTTTAAGAACGATTTTTCCAGCTGATGAACAATAAAAACATTAAAAGCCAATCAGAATTCACCCCACATTTAAAGTGGCAGACGTCATAACTGCGCTCTCACTTATAATAAACAGAGCATTATCATTTGTTGTTGTGGATGCTAATTTTGTTATCGTTACAGTTTAGTTATTGTTCTTGGTGTAAAGGACCTTAACTTGACGAGAATAGGGAAATCCAAAGCAGCTATAAGTGATAGCGACGCAGAGAAATTATATTGTTGGAATAACTTCCAGAAAGATTTTTCCAGCTGATGAACGATAAAAACATTAACAGCCAATCAAAATCCACCCTTGTTTAAAGAGCTTGCAAATTTAAAGCAGCAGCACCGAAACAGCGCTCGTATTTAAACAGAACATTATCATGATGTAGACGCTAATATAGTTATCTTTTTGGTTATCGTTCTTGGTGTGAACATGCTTGAATTCTATGAGAATTGGCAATTCCATGGCCATAATGGTAACAACACAAGGAACAATATCATCGGAACGATTTTTTAGAGCTGATGAACAATATATACATTGACAGCCAATCAGAATCCAGCTCGAGCATTTAAAGTGGCAGACTACAAAACTGCGGCACACTTATAATAAACAGAAAGATATTGTCCGTTGTTACGGACGCTAATATAGTTATCATCCTTGGTGTGAACGGGTTTAAGAGTATGTGTGGTGTGTGCATTAGCAGGATGTTTGCATTAGTGTGTGCGTCTCTGTGTGCTCAGGACCTGTTCAATGGGTAGTTCTGACAGACAAGGAAATAAACAGAAACTTGGAATGCCACAAGGGTAAACACACTCATTTAATGTGAGCCACCCCACTGTGGAAACTGTCTCTCAGAGGCTTCCTTCACCTTTATCATGTTGTCAAGGTGATGATGACCACCATGGCTGACTGATTGGTATCAAATATATTGCGTAGGCGCTTTGTAAGTGTTACATTTTCCACCACTTAATTGATTTTTAAAGAAATAAGTGTCTCGTCAAATGCTGGAGGCAATCTCTACCAGTAAATACCATCAGATTAATGTTCTGACCTCTAGGCCTTTGTGGCAGGCATACATGTGTTTAATCTAGTTGTCACTTTCTGCTGGAGGGTAAAAACTGACTTCAGCCTTCTAAGAATGATTGACAGTGGGACAAGCCATAGCCTTGAAGAATGTGGTTTTTTTTTTCAGTCATATTGTCTTTTAGGTTGTTGCAGCTAATCATCAACAGCTAATCTTGCACTCTGTATATCAAGTTAAAAGTCTTGCTACCTTTTGGCAAGGGTCCTGCCATCTGTCATCACTTATTGTCTCCTAATAAATATAATTAAATGCAATTTCAACAGTCTTATCTGCAAATAGAAAGGCGTGAAGTTAGAGGTCACACAAAAACCACTGTTGTGAGTCAGTGAAAGGGAAAATCACCTAATCAGTCCTATAGTGTTCAGCCATATCAGATTCCACCAATGAATATGAACAGCCGCAGATAAGATGTTAAGATTATGCCTTTGAACACTGTAATGATATATGACATACATTCATTGTCAAATTCAGTGACGTAACTAATGGCAACAAATATAGCTAAAACGTTAAAATGACAAATATGTCACTTGTATATTGTAGTGTGTCATCTGTGATGACTGTGCAGTATTTTGTATTGCCAACAAAACTTCCATTCCCAGGCCTCTCTGTCCAGGGTGTGTCTTAACCTTGTGTACTGTCAACAACAGAGGAGGGTCACACACACACACTCCTCAGTTTACTGCTGAATAAATCAATACCCAAATACAGACCACAGCCTTACTTACATGACTTACAGCCATGATTTCACTAACCAGTTTTTGCTCTACAGTGGTGTTTATTTTAATATTAATTAATTTTACTGATTACATATTAATTATGTTATTGTTAATAGTATTTAAGTTAAGATGCTTTCTCTGAACTGTTCTGGAAAAAAACATTAATGAATTATATTATTGTGAATAATATTACTACTACTAGTAGTAATAAAGTACAAGTAATAATAATAATGAAAAGGATTTATTAGATACTTCATTTTATGGTTTTGATTAGATACTTCATTTCATGGTTATTGTTATTGGATATGTGAATATATGTCAAGTTTGCTACCACTCACACACACAAACACAAACACAAAGTCTGTGTATATACAACCTCACAATGGATAACGGCTACTCTGAGGTTTTCTTGTTTTTTGTAATTACTTCTATACAGTGTTGCTCAGTGAGGGCGCTTAAGCAGTGGACTTTGTCTTAGGCTGCGTTTGAAAGTCTAATGCTTTGCTGACATCCAGGCTTTAAA